GAGCTCACTGGAACACTTATTCTACTTTATGGAATGAAGTGCTGTCCGGTTCTAGAATTGCAATAAAGCCAACTGAGATCTTTAAATGTATTGTAATTTTGTTTTTTGACATTGGTTACCCCATCAGGCAGCTGGCTGCCCTCAGTTGCTCCAAATGTATCCCCTCACACCAAATTATCCAGTGCCTCATCTGAGTTCTGGGGAGCAGTGAGCCCCACATCTGGTCACTGCTGGGTCCCTTGGGCCCAACATTAGTAGGTGGCCAGTGCCTATTGGAGGAAGGAGGCAAAGAATGCAGGGGACGGCTGCCCCCCTCTCCAGCGCCATGTCAATTCCCTGCCCTAGAAGGTGGTTTATTCCAGTTTCCGTGATACATACACTGGCTCAGCTCATTTTTCAAACGTTAACATCCCAGGGGGGTTGGTGCAGTTATTATCCCCATTGTATAGATGGGGAAATTGAACTGGGGATTGGAACTTAATGCAGTCCCAGCCCCAGCAGAGTGGCTGTTCAACAAATGTGCAGTGAGCGAATGGATGAGCTGTCAGGGCAGCAATGTCCTCTGTGCAGGGAACAGAGGGCGGCAAGTTGAAGGAAAGGACATTTGCAGAGGACGGCAGCATTAGGAGAAGCCAAGAGCTGGTGAGGCACACAGGGAGACAGTGGGGAGCTTTGGGGCAAAGGAGGGGGTGGCAGCAGCAGAGCATGGCGAGACGGTGGCTGGAGGTAGAAGCCACCAGAAGGGGTGTGGGGAGGTTAGAATACACGTCCTGCTGCACTCTCCTCCCTCCATCCAGTCTCCTGCTATTGCCTTCTCATGGCCAAACCCTGCTGGAAGACAGAGGGCAAGAAGTCCAGGATGCCACGTGCAAAGGTCGGCCTCCCAGGGCACTGAGCTGGGCAGAGAGGCACTGCAGGGGCGGATGGAAAATAACCAGCATTTTACTGGTCTCCTTGCTTCTGATCCATCCTTCCCCAACCACCCCCCAATGTAGCCAGAGTAAAGGGGATTCAGGAAGGGTCACCCCCACCTCCTGGAAAGCAGTCCCCATAGCCACTCTCCCCAACCCACTCTCCCCAGCAGTTGGAGACAATTCTCCAAAAGATAAATCTGGCCATGTGTCTCCACTGGGTAAGCCTCTCCAGGGAGTCCTTTTTCACAGTACCCCACGGTCGTAGGACAGTGACACCCTTTGGATCTGGCCACTCCTCCCTTCCCTGTCGCTGTGCTCCACCCAAGCCAGGGCAAGCTTGACTCTTCCTCATTCCCTCAGGCGTCTGCTCCGAAGTCATCTCACCCAGTCCCCTCCCTGATCTCCTGATCCAAAAGGACACCACTGTCCTTCTGTCCAGCTTCACTTTCTTCATCACCATCTGATATTACGTTTGTTTCTTTTCTTCCCACCCGCTATGTAAATGCTACAGCCCAGAACCTAGAGCACAGTAGGAACAAAGAGCACAATAAATACTTGTTTATTGGGAGTCGTCAGGATATATTGATGGTATTTATTTATTTATTTTGGTGGCTGGCCAGTACAGGGATCCGAACCTTTGACCTTGGTGTGGTAACACCGCGTTCTAACCAACTGAGCTAACACAACAGCCCTATTTTACGGTGTTTAAAGCCAAGAAGCTGCGTGAGATCCACCAGCAGAGGAGTTGGAGAGAGAGAAGAGGCTCAAGGACTGAGCCCTGTGCCCTTCGACCATCAGATCTTGACGAGATGAGGAAGAACCAGCCAAGGAGGCAGAAGGAGCCTCTGAGATGGCAGGAGGACCAGGGCAGTGTGGGCTCCTGAAAGCCAGGGGAGGAAAGAGCTCCAAGGAGCAGGACTGATCATTCTGGGCTGATGCCATCCACAGGTGAAATGAGATGAGGACCGAGACCAACCATTGACATTAGCAGCATGGAGCTCACTGGAGACCCGCACAGTAGAGTTTTAGCAGAGTGTGGGCACAGGAGCGAGCTCAGGGGAGATGGGAGAAGAAAAACTGGAGACAGTGAATATGGGTAGACAATGTTTTCTGGGCGTTTTGCTATAGCAGTAGCTGAGGAACCTGACAGTACCTGGAGAGAGAGTGGTGTGCAAGCGGTTTTTGTTGTTGTTGTTAATTGTGGTGAAATATACATAATACGAAATTTACCATCTTGACTATTTTTAAGTGTACAGTCCAGTGGCAATAAGTAATTCACATTGTTGTGCAGCCATCATTATCACCCATCTCCAGAACTCTTTACATCTCACAAAATTGAAATTCTGTCCCCATTAAACAGTAACTCCCCTCTCCCCCAGCCCCTGGCAACCCCTGGTCTACTTTCCGTCCCTATGAATTTGACCACTCTTTGTAGCTCATATTAAGTGGAATCATACAGTATTCATCTTTTTGTGGCAGGTTCATTTCACTTAGCATATTATCCTCAAGGTTCATCCATGTGTTCCATATGTCAGAATTTTCTTCCTTTTTAGGGCTGCGTAATATTCCACTGTGTGTACATATCGCATTTTGTATACATTCATCTGTTGATGAACACTGGGTTGCTTCCATCTTTTGGCTATTACGAATAATGCTGCAGCAAGCACTGATGTACAAACATCTTTTTGAGACTCTGTTTTCATTTGTTTGTGGTATATACCCAGAAGAGGAATTGCTGGATCATATATTAATTCTGTTTAATTTTTTGAGGACCTGCTAAACTGTTTTCCATAGTGGCTGCACCATTTTACATTCCCACCAATAGGGCACAAGGGTTCCGGTTTCTCCACATTTTCACCAACACTTGTTATTTCCTGGTTTTTTTTATAGTAGCCAACCTAATGGGTGTGAGGTGGTAGTTGGTCTGTCAATGGGAGAAATCTTCAGTATGTTTGTATGCAAACAATAAAGTCCCAGGAGATGGAGAGAGAGAGGGGAGAGTTGCTAATATAATGTCCTTGAGCAAGGAGAGGCAGGAAAACCCTGTGCAAAGGAGGAACTGCCTTTAGCCATAGTCACAGAGAAGGCTGGGGATGCAGGGACAGGAGCAGGCAGGAGGGAGATGTGGTGTGGAAGCCTGCGGCATTCCCTTGTGATTGTTTTGTTTTCTCAGGGTAATAGGCAGCCAGGTAAGCAGCTAAAGGCAAAGGGGACACAGTCAGAGGCTTGGGGAGAGAGAAGGGTGTGAAATAAAGTATCTAGGAGATGGGAGAGGGAGTGGAGGGGGGGGTAGGCTAGATAATGGTCCCCACAAAGATGTCCATGTCTAAATTCCCAGAAACCTGTGACTATGTTGCCTTTCAAGATCCTGAGATGGGGAGCTTCCTGGATTATCTGGGTAGATCCAATGTAATCACATGTGTCCCTATAATGCGAGGCAGAGGGAGATTTGACTACAGAAGATACTGTACTGCTGACCTTGAAAATGGATGAAGGGGCTACCAGCCAATGAATGCAGGTGCCTCTAGAAGCTGAAGGCAAGAAATTGGCTTCTGCCCTAGAGTCTCCAAAAAACAGATTCCCCTCTAGAGTCTAGTAGCCCTGGTAACACCTTGATTTTCGACTTCTACCCCAGAACTGTAAGACAGTGAATTTGTGTTGTTTTAAGCCACTGAGTTTGTGGGGTTTGTCACCGCTGGACAGCACCAAGGACCCCCTTAGACTTTAATAATCATAAAATTAAAGCAAGACCCACCAGCATGGTTGACTGTTTTCATCCTGCCTCACGCAGGTGCAGGTGTACAGGTGCAGGAGATGTCTGCACAGAGAGCTGTACTCAACCAGAGTGAGAACAATAAAGCAGGAGAAAGACGGGGGAGCTTCGGGTATAACCAAGAGAGAAAATGTAGTGACTGACCATGGCGTTGCTCCTAGATGTAATGGGGGTAGAGGGCAGTGGTATTCTTGAAATTGACATGGGCATTGCCATAGGCTACATCCATGGGCTATATCCCACAGGCCAAGTCCACCTTCCACCTGATCGCATAAACAAATTCTTACTGGAACATGGCCAGCCCATTCTTTATACACACATATATATATTATTTATTTATATTGGTGACTGGCCAGTACAGGGATCCAACCCTGGACCTTGGTGTTGTCAGCACCACGCTCTCACCAACTGAGCAACCAGACAGCCTGCTCTTTCACGTACTGCGCACAGCTGTCTTCACACCACGACAGCAGAGTTGAAGGCAGTGACGAACTGCAAGACCCGCCAGGTCTAAAACACTCATTCACTAGCTGGCTCTTCACAGAAACGCGCTGAGCTCTTCTAGGGCTAGGGCGGAGTGGCTGAGACAGGGCGGAAGGCAGGGCCAACGGGGAAGAGGAGGGTCAGGAACCGAGAGGCCGAGGTGTTCTGTCATGCACACAGATCCTGAAATCACTGAGACCGAAGCTGGAGTGACAGTAAGCCGGGAGTGCAGCAGGTGACCCAGGGGCCGGCTAAACGAATACACAAGCCAGGGTCTCTGTCCGCTCCAGGCCTTTAAAGTCAGAACTCCCTTTGCCGGAACCTCCTCCCCACCTTTTGTTCTGGAAAACTCCTGCTTGTTCCTCAAGAATAGGTCAGAGGTCATCACCAGAACCCTTCCTTAAGCCCTGGCTGGGCCGGGGACCTCCTCTGTGCTCCCAAGAGCCCTGAGCTGATCTGAGCACCCCAGGATGGGCCTCATAGGGGTGGCCACCCCCCCAGAGAGGGGCCTCCAAGAGGGCAGAGTCTCGCTCCTAAGCGAGGAGCGGGCTGCTTGTGAAGGAGCAGCTCTGCGGAGACCACTCCCCAATTCCCAGAGCAGGCTGAGGACACCGAGGGCAAAGGCACACCCGGGCAGTCCTCCGCAGTTAGTTCTGCTCACAGGCCTGAGGGGCGTGCCAGGCTCTCAGCAAGGAAGGCTGTAATGGGGGTGCCCTTAGGGACAGTCACGGCATGGGCCTGCCAGAATCCAGTAACCACGACCCCATCTCCCTGACCACACTGGTGACAGGCAAGCAGGGCCAAGGACAAACCCTAGCCAGAGCCAGGGGTCAATGTGTAAAACAAACAAAAGATTTATTTATAGGCAGGAATGCTGTCCAGCATACAGTGCAAACTCTCGTTGTTTTAGGTTCAACATAAGCAAGGAAACTGAGGCCACACCCAGAAAGAATGAGTCTCTGGCCAATTCGCAGCTTCCCCACTTTGCTCAGGCGATGCCACGCCGAGGCCCTCCCAGAACTGTCCACCAGGGGGCAGCCGCACTCCACCACTGTGCAGGGTCCGCTGTGGGTAGGGACCTGGCCAGTCAAGGCCGACTACATCTTGATTCCTGGGTGGGGAACCTTTCTTGTCTCCATGGTAATGGCTGGGCTCTCCTACCCTCAATAGTCCAGCTGCCAAGTTCAAGTCCAGTGGAATTTATCAGCAAGGGATCCAAGTACCTGAGACTGAACTGGTCTCTGAAGGAGTCTCCCAACCCCCTTCCTTCCAGAATCTGTCAAGGTCATACTCAGTTCACCCCCTGCAGGGTCCTGGGCCTGTGTTCAGAGGGAGCGGGTTGAAATTTTAATGGGGAAGAATCCTTTGGCAAAATTGCTGGCTTCAGCTGCTTCAAGGTCATTAACTTGATGACATCGGCTAAGCAGACCCACAACACACGACACAGACAGACTGGCTCCCAGCTTCTCACATCCACTCGGCATCGCGGCCGGCACAGGACCAACGCGGCCCCACTGCTCCCCTGGGGCTGGGGAGTCGGGGGTTGGGAAGCACACCCTTCCAGAGGCAGGAGGAAGGTCCAGGCTGAGGTAGGAGGGGAGAGATGGCTGCAGACCCTCGATCATCTCCAGTTCCTGCAATTCCCTGATAGGAGAAGGTGTGGCCTTGGAACACTACGTCTGACAGTGAGGGACGAGGGGCTGGAGCCGTGGGCACATGGGAGTGAAGGTCAAAGGCAGAGGAGGCCAATGGCCGGGAAGGGGCTGCATGTGGCCCTCTGACTTGGCTGTTTGTTGTTTTGTTGGCTTGTCTGCCTGCATGACACTTTTTTTTTTTAAACTGCCACATGTTAAAATTGGAAGATTTCCGGTTAGAGGTTTGCCATTTTGCCCAGACCACAGCACCAAATAAGGTTGCCTGCGTGGGTCCTTTGGGCATCTGATTTTCATACGGTGATACAAAGGGCCAAGGTAGCAGAAGTGGATTTGGAGGTGGTGCTTTCCAAGTCCTGAGCTAACCAGGGGGCCCCTGTCCCCTACAGGGCTGCCACCTCCTCCCCACATGGAACCACCTGATGGATGGCCTCACCCACTGGGACCAGGCTGCAGTCTGGGCACTCAGGCTGAAGCTGTGTCCTTTCTTCAAGGATTACTCATGCAGTGTCCCTCCTCCCCAGCAAGCCCCTCTGCTGGGAGGATGCTGGGGCCTTCCGAAAGCCAGAGCCAGGCCAGAGCCCAGGGGTAAAAAGAAAAAAAACAACAACAAAGGCTCCAGAAGCCAAGCTCGCAGGTCCAGCTGGGGGGCAGCTCACAGAGAGGCAGGGACTCGCCCTGTATCCATGCCCAGCCAGCCTTTTGAGAGGGACACACAGCACGACAGCAAAGGTTCTTCATGACTCTCGCTGCCTCGTCCCTCAGCCCGCAGGTGACAGGGAAGCTGGGGCTGTGGAGGCCACTTGAGGAACTTGGCCAAGAAAGAACCATAGAGTCCAAGGGGGTGGAGGCCTTTACAGGGTCGCCCTGCCAGGGGCCAGCCCACCTTGGCTGTGACACGGCCCACACCAGCCTGGTTAACTGGGCTTCATCCCAGCGTCGGGCACGCCAAGGGGCAGGGGTTTCTCCTCAGGGATCTGCAGCAGAGTCTCTGGAGTCTCCAGCGGGGACTGGGAGGGGCACTCCTCCTTGGAGAAGGGGACCTGCTCGTCCTTTGGGGAGCTCGAGGGGCTGGCATTCACGTCTCCTGTCATGGAGCTGGCTTGGGAGGAGCACTGTGAGCTGTGGTCAGAGCTGCTGCAGACGTTCACGATGCAGGTGACATTGACTTGGGTCCCATGGCCACCAGGGGAGGACTCTGCTAAGCACAAAATGGGAGGGAAGGGTCAGTCTGGGGGTCAAGAAGTGGGGGATGTCTTCACAGACTGTCTCCTGCCCAAGAGGCAGATTAAGATGTGGGAAAGAGCACTGGACCAGGAGTCAAGAGACCAAGAGTCCAGCCCAGCTCTGCCTGTCTGACCTTGGGCAAATCACTTAACCTTTGAGTGCCTCAGTTTCCTCATTTGTCAAATAACAGCATTACCACCTATCCAGCCCAAATCACCCCATAGATGGGAGGAGCCACTCATATAAAGCAGATGAAGGTGCTTCAAGAACAAAGCGCACTCTCTGCAGAGAGTCAGAGGTGAGAGGGAGAGGAGGCACACGGTACGGGACGCGCGTCAGGCTCTGAGGATGAATTACGTCCCCAGAACTGCTGGAAGGAGTCAGCAGACCTGGCTACACCAATGACGAAAAGATGAGAACCCTCTGTCATTGGCACATTGTACACCACAGGATCAGCAGGGAAGGGCCTGGCAACTGTTCCTTTATGGAAATTAAACGTGGACCCTGAAGTCGTCCTCATCTTCAGCTAATCTCTTTCCTCCGTGTAGAGCTGCCTCTAGGATTGCAGAATCTGGGATTCCAGAATGCAGTCAGGTGGTAGTTTGTCCTCCCTCATTCCTGAGCTGGGATTGCCTCGTGTCTGCAGTCTGACAATTCTGGACTTGAATCCCTGCTCTGCCTCCACAATCTTGGCCAAGTTGATTAACCTCTCAGAGCTTTGGCGTGCCCAGCCGTAAAATGGGTATAATGACCCTGTACATCTCCTTGCAGGCAAAGACGACTCTGTCTTGTTCCTTGCGTATCTCTGGAGCCTACACAGCTCCTGGGGACAGAGTGCCATGCCCAATGAACCAGGGGTTGAACACTGGCTCTAAATATCCAATCACGTGTGTGGCACCCGCACTTGGATGCTTACAGACGCCTCAGACTTTGCTCTGGATTCCACCCCCATCTCCCACCCGACCTGCTCCTCGCATCTCAGTGCACGTTGCCACCACATGGCTGCATCCCTGCTGCTCAGGCCAGAGCCTAGACCCACCTTTCTCTCTTACCCCACCAATCTGTCATCAATTCCTTCCTGGTCTACCTGCAAAAGACAACTTGAAGCTCCCCCTGCCCTGCTGCCACCTCATGCAAGACTCCATCCTCTCCCACCTGGACCGGTACGAACAGCTTTCCCTGTCTCCAGCTTCCACCCCACCCCTCTGAAGTCTGTTCTCCACCAGCAGCCAGAGCCAGTCCTTTAAAACTTGGCAGATGACTTCCTTGGCTCTCAAAAGACCAGTCCTCACCACAGCCTGTGAGGCCCTACCTGCCCTGGGCCTGCCTTCTCCTGCCCTGCTCCTGCCGCTCCAACATCCTGACGTCCTCCTTCCAGCCGCACCCATCTCCTGCCGCTCCCTGAGCCTTTCAAGCCTCCAGGCCTTTGGAGCCTCCAGGCCTACTGTTCCCTCAGCCTGACAAGCTCTTCCCTGTTCCCATGGCTGACTCCCTCCTGTCTCTCAGGCCTCAGCTCAAAGGCTGCTTCCTCCGAGAAGCCTCCCTGGCCTTCCTCTCCAGAGGTGATTACCCCCCGTCTCATCCATCACTCCCTGGGTCCCTCCCTACTTCTGTGACCTCCAGGGATCCTGCGGGTCCTGGGTTGCTTGTTTGTCACTCCCCCACCAGACCCTGAGCCCAGGCGGGTGGGCACTTTTTGACTGTTCCATGCTGTGCCTATAACAGGGACAAGTTATATGTCCCTGGATGGTTAAAAAAGTTAGAAGGGGTAATAACGGATAAAAACCAGCCCACTATATGTTCTGTTCTTGGTGTTAGTAGTGTTTTAAATGAATTAGCTGATTTTAAAATTCAAGAGTTTACATTTTAAAAATCTGGACTCATGGCTTCCCTTGGGAGCCAGATGCAGATCTGGCCATGCGGGACCAACATACCTGAAGCAGTTGGCAGGAAGGACTCCGGGGACCACATTCCTGCCCAGCCCCCATGGGCATCTCAGTTTCCTAACTAGCTGGGGAGGAACTTGGATGATGAATTAGCTGAGGAGCTGAATGTTACAGGCTTGACACACAATAGCCCCTAAAAAATGACAGCTGCTGCTGCTGCTGTCACTGCAGGGACCTGCTGACTACAAACGCAGTGGCAGTTGTTTTGTTTTCCAGACCTTGCCCCAACCTGGTTCCCCCTGACTCCAGGAACTCAATCAGGAGGAGCTTGCAACAGCCCCAATCAGGCCAGGGGGAGGGAGGGCTGACATCATAGGGCCGGAAGGAAATTTCCACCCTAGGCCTCCCCAGCACCCAAATGTCACCCAAAGTCACCACAGCCTTTGCACATCGTGAATGAGACATTGTGGGGGCGGAGGGGGGGACCACAGAGGGACACAGCCCTGGGGTATACACATTCCCATAGTGGAGAGAGGTGTTTGGGGGGGAGGGGGGAGAGAGTAGAGGCAATGAAAAGAGACAGGTCGGGAGCTCTTGGGAGAAAGAGCAGAGCGGACAGAGGGCAGAGGAGGCAAGCAGACATGGTCGGGGGTCCATTCCAGGGCCAAGGAGGAAACACAGCAGGACAGCCATGGAAGAGGAGGAGCCAAGTTTATATGTCGAGTGCATTCATTCATTCAACAAACGGTTAGGGCCATCTGCTCTGTCCCAGGCACTGCCAAGACATCACACTGATGAGGGCACATAGACCACGAGGGGAAAACAGAAGCAGAGCATGTCCCCGCACGCAGGCAGTCAAGTGACAGGTAGGAAAGCGTGTTGAGGCAGGCGGGCGGCACGAGCACAGGCAAGGGGCAGGGCATGGCAAGCCAGGGGAGCAGCAGAGCAGGGGTGTGCCAGAGCGGGCTGCAGGTGTCAGTCCCCAGCTGGAGGCGGCCCAGAGGGAGCACAGCCAAGCTGGGAACGGTGATGCTCATTTCTCACCAGCCCTGCCAAGGAGGGGCTGGGGCCCATCTCTAGATGAGAAACTGAGGCTCGGCAGGGTTAAGGAGGCTGTTCAGGTTCTCATGGCACCAGAGTGGCTGGGCTGGGATCTGGGAATGACCCAGGTTCATAGTCATTCTCTGACGTCCCACTGGCCAGCATTGCCAGGTGAGAGGGAGAGACACAGGCCAGCAGATTTGCCCTCTCCACTACAAAACAAACCCAAGGAAACCCCAGGATTTTGGGGGGACATCTACAGGGGTCCCCTCCAGTATGGACACCAGAGACCAACCAGGGGTGACACCTGTCACAGAACAGGGCCAGGGCAAAATGGAGACTGCATAAATAAGACACCGTCCCTACAATCCTGGTGCCTCAGGCCCAAAGGGACCTAGCAACGAGCCTCAGTGAGCGGAGCCCTGGAGTCATCCTTCCTTCACTCATCTTCCCCACCAGGCCTCTGGTGGGGCCCAACAGGCCAGAGGGGATTCTTAGCTCTTCCATGTACTAGCTGTGTGCCCTTGAACAAGCAGTTTAATCTCTCTGGGCCTCAGTTTCCACATCTGTAAAATGGGGATAACAATAATAACTATCTTTTAGCAGAGATGTGCAGGTTGATTTTATGCAAGTAAAGTGCCCATACAGTGCCTGATGCACCATAGGTCTTTAATAAGTATAAGCTATTATTATTATTATTATTATTATTATTACTAGCTAGGCACAGTGCTGAGCCTGTGGATACAGGGATGAATGAGATGACCGGGTTTACCTGGAGTCCACAGCCTGGTGAGACAGGAGGAGACAGACAGTGGCTGCATAGTCTAACACTCCAAGGAGCTGGCTGGTTAGCTCAGCTGTTAGAGCGCAGTGTTATAACACCAAGGTCAAGGGTTCAGATCCCCATACTGGCCCACCACCAAAAATAATAATAATAATAATAATAATAATAACAACAACAACATTCTCGTATAACTTCGTATAATGTATGCTATACGAAGTTATTACGTTGCTCCTAGATGTAAAATAATAATAATAATAATAATAATAATAATAATAATAATAATAATAATAATAATAATAATAACAACAACAACAACATTCCTATGAAAGGGAGCAGGAGCTTGGTGAGCCCGGAGGAGCAGCCAATTCAGCCATGGGTGGTGATGGGGAGGGGGTTTCAGGAAAGTCCCCCACCTGGATACTGGGTACTAGAAGGACAAGTCGGGATTGTCCAGCAGAAGCAAGTGGGCTCCAAGTGGGAAGACCAGTGTGTGCAAAGGTGGGAAGAAACCTGGTGGGCTCAGGGGCTGAGAGAAGTTCTGTGTGGCTCTGCTGAACCTGAGGGGGGAGCAGGGGTTGGCAGGGAGGCCCAGGAGGAAATGGCTTAGACAGAAACCAGGCAAGAAATACACAGGAATGAAAAAAAAAAAAGGAAAATAAAAGAAAAAAGAAATTAAAAAAAAAAAAATACAAAGGAGGTGGGGATGAAGCCAGGCAGGATGAAGCTTCCTGCCTCTCTCACCTGAGCTCCCAGAGCTGGCACGGGCCTCCCCGGACCCCCTATCCTTCTCGGTGCCTGCAGCCTGCGACTGGTGGCTGCTGGGTACCCTCCTGTCCGAGGCACTGGCCGAGCTCTCCAGGGAGCTGCTGCTGGAGCTTGGTGCTGTGGTCAGCAGGTGCTGCTGCTCAGGGCCCGGCGCACCCCGGGCCTTATCGGCGGGCAGGTGAGGCTGGATGGGGGGGAGGAGGGAGAGCGGTCAGTCCACCCGCGAGCTCCCCTTCCCCTCCTTCTCCCCGCCCTCTGCGGCCCTTGCTGTCAGCACTTCAGAGTCTACATGACGCTCCTGCCCACACCTGCACGTTCTTTCCACACACGATGCTGTTGCGAGGTGTGATTCTCTGTGGTTTTTGTGTTTCTGTTATTAGCATCTAGCTGCCCCACTGGAATGTGAGCCCTATGAGGGCAGGGGCCACGTGGCCCTGTTCGCCAAATAGTCTTAGAGGCGGGGAAGGATTTTCATCCTCCTTTTACATAAGGACACAGAAGGAAAGTGACTTTCCTAAGGTCACCCCATCAGCACAGGGAGACATGACCCAGCTCCGCGGCCAAGAGCATGGACTCTGGATTAGATCACATGAGTGCAAATCATGACTCTAACACTCACTAACTGTGTGACCTTGGACAAGTCACTTGACCTCTTTGTGCTTCTGTTTTTTCATCTATAAAGGGAGAATAATAACCTACCTTATAGGATTGTCGTGAAGATTAAGTGGCCAAATATTTGTAAAGTGCTTAGAACAATACCTATTACATGACAAGCTCCACACAAGAGTTTGTTAAATCAGAAGGAGGCAAAGTACCGCCCATGGGCCATCCAGCTGCCACCGATACAGCCTGTGAGCTGTCAGAAAGTGTGCTGGCCCTTGTTTCCGATCAATCAATCCAGTGCAGGAGTCCTTTCATCTGGGCCCCTCAGCTATGCTGTCTCAGCTCCCCTTTCCAAGTCCACCAGGCTGTTCTGTGACATCTTCTAATGTCTTTTTCCCATGGAATAATACTAATACTAATAATATATTAGCTGACATTCGAGTGCCACTCAATGCCAAGCACTGTGCCAAAGTCCCTCCAGACACTATCTATGTTGATTCTTCCAACAGCCCAATGTTATCTTTGCTTTGCAGATGCAGAAACTGAGGCACAGAGAGGTTGAGTTGCATACCCAAGGTCAGAATTAGGACATGGTGTACAATGTGGTACCCCACAGATATGTACGATCAATTGTGTTTCAGTAAAATAAATAAAAAGGATATGGTGCAGCTGAGCTGAAACCCACAATGTCTTTCCTGCTGTCTGGGGTTTCAGCTCTGGAGGCTCAAGACAAGGTCCCCATTTCCAGACACCTGTGCCAGGGAGCACCTCGAAATCCCATCCAAGGCTGTAGTCTTTCCACACTGACTGGACAGGCGCCCAAGGCCTTGCCTTGGGGTTCTGTGTGATCACCAAGTCCCAGAAAGAAAGGAGATGGCAGGGGCTATGTTCACACCCACTGCCCTGGCCCCTGACCAGGATGAAAGACAGAGTTCAGGGCAGAATGAGAACGGACGAGAGTGAAAGGCTGGTGGGACACGCCTAGCACTGTAGGGAGAGGTGAGAGGGTCTGCTTTGGCTACAGGGGTAGAGTGGGGGGCATAGGGATGTTAGCCCCCCAGGGAAAGGGTAAGACCCCCCTGACTTCCCTCAAGAGGGAGCTACAATTCCAGCTGTCTGAGCAGAGGCAGGCCTGTGGTCCTCCTGAGCCCATTCCTCCTTGGCCCATCACCACAGCCCCTTGCTCCCAGCCCCACCCATTGCTGCTGTGGTGTCTCAAAGCTTCAGCTCACCCATGCCCTCAGTTCTTGGAGGCCTCCCACAGGCCAAAAGGATCCTTTGCCAACTGTGCCCTTGAGGCCACGGAGGCCCAGAGAGGGCGAATCCTGTGCTCAGTATCGCACCGCTGGTCTGCGGTGGGGGCAGGACGAGCCCAGACCAGAGCGCCAGAGCTATGCACTGCCCACCACATCTGTGCCCGGGAGGCCCCCTGCCCAGCTGGGTTTCCCAGTTTTGGAGGGCTGGAGGGCATTTCAAGTTCATGATGAACCTCTGCCCAGCATGAACTGACCCTGAACACTCTCCCCCACCCCCAGCCCTGCTCTGAGCTTGGAGTGGGAGAAGGAGCATCCAAATGTCACTCGTCACAACCCCCAGAGAAGGGGCTTTTCTGGCCTGTGCACCACCCCCTCTGCTGGTGGCTAGAGCCAGGCAGAACAGAAACCCCCAAAGGTCACAGACTGCCTCCCTCCTCCAAAGCCACAAGCTGCAAAGTTCAGGCAGGCTCTGGGTGGCACAGATACAACCTGAGTCTTGTTACTTGGGCTGGGACTAGTGGGGGGAGTGCTGAGGTGGTTCATGTAAAACTCGGGATCCCTGCCAGCCAGCCAGACCCCCTTACCTCCTAGCCCCTCCCAGGCAGAGCCAACACGGGTCCTCCAGGTTCCCACCGAGTCCGTGTCTGTGTGTGTGACTGTGTGTTCACAAGGCTCGCACACCTGGACCCACAGGTGTGGGAATGTACAAAGTGTGCACACACACGTCTATGGGGGGGGGGGGGGCATGTGTCCGCGTTTGTCCTGTGCATGGTAGGCTGCTCAGCAACATTTCTGGCCTCTATTCACTAGATGCCAAGGGCACCCCCACCCTAGTAATGACAACCACAAATGTCTCCAGACATTGTCAAATGTCCACTGGGAGGTAAAATCACCCCCAGTTGAGAACCACGGTGTTAGGGGAAAGCTCAGTCCTGGGTGGCCCAGGGCCTGAGGTCTACACATGGCTTTCGAAATCAGATGTACTGACTTCATCTCCTGATCTTGCCAGCAAGAAAACAGGTGCAGAGAGCGAAAGTGACTTGTCCAAGGTCACACAGCAATATGTCTCCACACTCCCAGCCCTGCCCGACAGTATTTCGGCGGGCATCCAGTTAGGGTGTGGACTGGCGATGGTGAAAAGAAGCACTCCTAGGTTTGTGTCCCAGTCCGCTCATCACCTCTGCCACCTTGGGAAAGTTACTTAACTTCTCTGGGCCAAGTTTTCTGGGCTGTAAAATGGGGGCAATAATCATCCTGCCTGTGTGTTGCCACATGGCGGTAAGAGTAAATCATGCTCAGCACAGTGCTGGGCATGTGTCTGGCACCTGATCAGTGTTGCACTTGTTATTAAACAGGGGCCCATGCTCAAGTGTGTCTGTGGTGAGCTCACACGTGTGTACATTGGTCTTTTTTTTTTTTTTTTTAAGATGACTGGTAAAGGGATCTTAACTCTTGGTGTTGTCAGCACCACGCTCGCCCAGTGAGCAAACCAGCCAACCCTATACAGGGATCCGAACCCATGGCCTTGGTGTTGTCAGCATCACACTCTCCCGAGTGAGACATGGGCTGGCCCTATGCTGGTCTTTTCTAAACAAAGGGAAGCCACTGTCCCCCATGCCCTGGGAGTCATTTCTGCAGCTAGAAGCACAGGTTGGTGCCAAGTCACCTCTCTCTCAGCCCCAGCGGCCGGCTCTGGAGATTACCTGCTGACCTCTTGCCCAGCTGCCAGCTGAGGAGCAGAGTGAGGCACAGGCTGTGCAAGGGGCCGGGGGTTGGGGGTGGGAGTCCAGGGACTGAAGGGCACATGGGAAGGTGACCAGGCTCTGAGGGCAGGCCCTGCTGGGAATGCGGGAACACTCGGAACACCTTTGACTATCTCCCCGACAGAACAGGACAGTGAGTAAAGGCAAAGCCTGCAGATTCAGACTAAGTTTCAAACCTGAGCTATGCCACTTACCTAACGATCTAACCTTACAGAAGTAAATGAACCTCCCAGAGTCTCAGTTTCCTCATCTGTAAAATGGGGATGATGATACACCCCACCTCACAAGGCATGTGAGGATTCAGTGACACAGCTCAGGCAAAGAGCCTGGGGGCTCAGCCAGTGGCGTGCTGGAGCCAGCTCAGACCTGTGCACATTTCTTCCCAACTCCATATTCGGGAAGGTCTTGGTAGCTTGCCATTGGCCACAGTGGGAGTGTTTATGCCACAGAAATTAGCAAACACTGCAAATTAGGGTTTGGCTTTCTTTCCTCCTAGAGAGCAGTTATCAGCACACCACGGGGCTCTATGCCCATTACACTCAACACCCAGGAGATGAGTTGCTCACATGCAGTGAAGCAAAGTCAGTGAAGGGAAGGGGAAGTAGAGGCTACTGGGCCACACCCAGGAAATCTTCAGAGCTCAGAATATTGGGAAACATTTGTTTGAGAAAGAGAAGGTGTCAGCTGGGCTGCTGGGGTGGAGCATGGAGGGGACACTTGCTCTATGTACCACCAGGCAGCAACTGTCAGTGTCACTGAATTGAAGCCAGAAAAAGAGAGGAGTGGGATTTGCACCCTGGGGGAAAGAGAAATGGTTGGATCCCAACTGAAATAGTAGGCAGGGCAAAGAGCACCGGGCTGGGAGTCTGGAGACACATTGCTGTGTGACCTTGGACAAATCACTTTCCCTCTCTGCACCTCTTGTCAGCAAAATCAGGAGATGAAATCAGTCTTTCTGATTTCAAAAGCTGTGGGTAAACCTCAGCACTGGGCCACCCAGGACTGAGCTTTCCTCTAACACCATGGCTCTCAACTGGGGGCGATTTTATCTCCCAGCAGACATTTGACAATGTCTGGAGACATTTGTGGTTGTCATTACTAGGGTGGGGGTGCCATTGGCATCTAGTAAATAGAGACCAGAAATGTTGCTGAGCAGCTTACCATGCACAGGACAGCCCCTACAACTAAGAAGGATCTGGCCCCAAATGTCCATGGAGTGGAGAAACCCTGCCCTAACAGGACAGAGAATGTGGAGGAAACTCCTTGGACTTTGTTTCTTCATCTGTAAAATTGGGTTAAAAAAAAAAACTGTCCTGCCTACCAGGAGCACGGTTGCCCCATACCCATTCCTAACCTCTCTCCCTCGCCCTCCTCCATAGAGGCTGGGAAAGCAAAGCCCCTTTCCCAGCTTCCCTTGCAGCTAGGGGTAGTCACATGACAGCATCTGCCCAATGAGGTGAAAGCTGACATTGACCCAGGGCTTCTGGGAAAGCATCTGATTGACTGGTGAAGGCACCAGGCTGGCCTGGACATTTCCCCCTTTCTTCCCACCTCGAACTTGGAGGTCACGTGTGAAGCAATGACCACCATCTTATGACATGAGGATACAAGCAAGAGAACAAAAGCCAACACACTCAAGATGGCAGAGCCCAGGGTTCTGTCGGCAGTCTGGAAGGATGCAACGGAACCCATTCTGGCAGCCGCCAATCCCGGGGCTTCTCGGAATGTGAGAAAAAAAAAAGCCTTTTTGTTTTAAGTCACCTGTGAGTTTTCTGTTATTTGCAGCCCAACACCTTCCTGATGGAGAATTAATGAAATACTATGGTACTATGTTGTTGGTCTTTTACTAACAAAAATCCTTCACAGATCCTACTTTATAAACAGATCAAAGGTGAGAAGCTTTGGGTGAAGCAGGGGAAGGACCCAAGGTTCAGCCCCACAGCTTCCACCTCAAACCCAAGAGATGACCCTCCAGAGCCCTCTGTGGGCCACAGGGGTACCCCAGAACTCAGTTTGAAAACCATGAGAAAGTGCTCTGTACACACGATGGAGATGATGAGAACTGTGGCCGGCTGAGTGGATGGCACAGCCCTGCAAGCTGGGCCGAGCAGACACCAGTCCCGTCTAATGATAAGAAAACAGCCACAGAACAACTACATGTCCAGCCAAGGTTATGCCATGAGCACATGCTTGCCACTAACACCACTAAGTCCCCTGCTCCCTGACATAGCATTTCACACTCACAGTCTCCTTTAGCTCATGGAGGGCTGCCTAACCCCCAGGCCTTTCCTCCACTTTCCAGGCTTCTGCACATCTCCTGACACTGGGCACATCAACCTACAGAATTTCACTGCATCCTGTGCAACCACCCAGCCCATCAGGAGAGCAGGGGAGGAGGAGGGAGAAGGCAGAAAGACACTCACCACCTTGGCTTCTCTTTGCAGGCAGGAGGGCTTCTCTACAAAGAGGAGAAAGGGGACAAGTCAGAGAGTATGACTTCCCTGGGGCATGTCTGTTCCAACTAGGAGGGCAGCATGGGGCCCAAACAGAACTAGCGGGGTAGGCCCAGCCCTGGTGGGGAACAATTGCTACCAGACAAGGTCCAGAGAAGTCCCCACAGAACCCTCCAGCTGAGCCGACTGTTCCACTCCCTCCACCACCCCAACTATCCTGCAGCCCCATCTTTGCCCATGACGTGCTGTCCACCTAGTGTGCCCTTTCTTTCCTGCGCATACTCCACACCCGTCAAGATCCTACCCAGCTCAGAAGCCATTTGCTTCCTGGATAGAAATCCTGAGCTCCGGGCCGGCCCAGTGGCGCACTGCGCTAGTGCGCTGCTTGGGAAGCGCGGTTGCGCTCCCGCCGAGGGTTCGGATCCCACATACGGACCGGTTCCCGCTCACTGGCTAAGCGAGGCACGGGGGCAACACCGAGGGTTGCGATCCCGTTGCCGGTCCCGGTCCGGTACGGGGGCGACACTGAGGGTTGCGATCCGTTGCCGGACACAGAAAAAGACAAAAAAAAAAAAAGAAAAGAAAAGAAATCCTGAGCTCCTAGCCCATGGGATACCCTGAT